TTTTTTTTTTTTTTGCAAAATTGTTTTTTTTTTTTTTTTGGGGGTTTTCCCCCCCCCCCCAAATAAGGTGACATTTCAGAAACTCAGCTTTATGTTTTATAAGAATTGCATTGCTACCTGTAGCCGAAGTACGGCTCTGTTGTGAAATCAAGCTGCAAGCAACAGAAAGTTAAAGCGTTTAGAGAATGCTTTAAATTTCATTTTAAAATTTCTGCTGTGTACACGCAGATCTGTCCACGAAGAACTGCCTTCTGTTAAAGTTCTAACAAAAAAAATGTGATTTTTAGTGTTTGTTTAAAAATTCCAATACAAGTCATATTTATGAAAACCTTTACATTGCAGTAATCATGGAAGGGCAAACTGTCTGCCATTTTTTTTTACTCCTGGCTGGTGTTATATAAAAAAGCATGCCCACAGTGCTTCCAGCGCCGATGTCAAAGCTCTGAGGGTATCTGCGGCTAAAGGAGACACGGCCTCCATTGGTTCACGGGTGGCAGCTGAGAGTCACACGGAAAGGGCTTCACGAGCCCCGACGGTTGCCTTTGTAGAATCGGTTTTACTTTCGGTGGCGAGACACGAGACACGTCGGTAAGGCAGTGCGAACGCACCGCTCCGACAATGCCAGCGGCACCCAGCAAGTGCCTTCCTGTTTTTCAGTTTTGCCAGTTCTGTGGCCGGTCTGATACGACTCGCTGGATATGAACAGGCTTTCTGTCCTGCCCTTTTTTCTCTAGATCATTTCTTTGGTGGCTGGTTAATGTTTCACGGGGCTGTAGAATTTGCTAATTGTTAACCACCGCTTGCTCCTCTCCAATACTTGGGTATGAAGGGTTGCTTCCGTTGTTTAGTGAAAAGCTTTCTTGGGCAAAGTTTAAAGATAAAACCAAAACCCCAAATGGAGAGAGCTCAGAGCAGCGACACGGAAGCTTCAGCCTGCCCTGCGCTACGTGCCAGCCCTGGGGTAAGTTCTGGCTGTTTCTCGTCGTCCAACGACTTGCTCTTACTGCGGTGGCATCCCGCGCTTTGCACCCGCACTGGTGGCCCGGTGGCTTTCCACAGACTGCAGATCCCACAGCTCAGAGTGCTGCTTGCAGCTCAGAGGCGGCAGGTGTTGCTCAGGACCTTGCTGGTTGACATGTACGTTGTTTTCTTCCAAAAAAACGCAAGTTGTGCAAGTCATGACCTGGCAGTAATATTTCTGACAGGGTGCCTGGCTTTTTGGTGGGCGTAGAGGTTGCCCTTGGTTTTCAAGTTTTAAAGATTTCACTGCTGTTCGTCTCTGCGTAATCCAGATCTGCCAGTTCTCCCTGGGGGTTAATTTGTTTGTAAAGCACTTTGTGAACCTCGGTGGGCAGATGCTAGACACGTGTAAACCTTTTACTGGGGCTGCAAGTGTGCTGCCAGGCCGCTGCTGGACCATCGGCTCTCCGGTTGCCTTACAGTCTGCGGGATTTTTAAATTAGTATATTGGCATACTCTGGATCTTAAATTATTCATTATTACTCTTTTACTGAGGTGGACCTTTCATTAAACAGCTGTGAAAGCAGATGAAGATCTTAAGAAGGGAGAGGAGTTAAACATTGCTGTGGTTCAGTGTTGTCGTTTGGAGGAGGGATTTACTGTAGCCTTTAGGCAGCAATTGCTCCAAAGATGTTTTTGCCAAGAAATACCTTCCTCCAGCCCCATAATTATTGGGAGATGCCTATCTAGAATGGCACAGAAACTTTGCTGCTTCGTTACTCCTGAGACTGGGGACGCCAGACTTGTAGGAAGAGGTAACCTGCGCCCAGCGTTCTGAGCCACCACCACGAAGAACATTTCAGCTTCTGTTTCCTGTTGGCTTGAGAAACCGAGCTGGTCCTGGTAACCATCGGAAAGACCCTAAGAGACTGTCGGGTACCTGGGCCTGGGCAGGCACTCTGGGTTTCTGCGACTTCAGCTGCAGCTGGGGAAGTCGCTGTAGATGAGCTGGGAGCTGTGGGCTGTAGGGTGACGAGACGGGATGCAGCATCAGGCAGGGATCACCAAGCTACCCACTAAAAATAGTTTTTGGGTGCCTGCCGTAGCAGCAGTGCATTTAATGTCTACAGCAGTCATGTGTTTGGAGCCTGAAAAGCCCTGCTGCTGTGGTGTCTTGCGGTCTGTTTCAGCAGTTGGAGCCTGCTGTGTCACCAGGTGGCAGCACGGGAGGAGGACAGGCTGTGTTCCTCTCCTGGGGAGCCTGGCCTCTCCATCGCTGTTCTCCTAAAGCTGCTCTGATGCTTCACTGGCCAGGAGTCCAAAATGGAATCAGATCTGCAGCAAAACACCTCTGGGTACAGTATGTTCCATTAGGCTGAAGTATCTTCTGCAGGAGCTTCTAAGTTCTGCCCAGTTACCTGCGTCTGCCCACAGCAGTAGCTACTGGTGAAGGCGCTCTGTTGCGGTGGGGGGTGAGCGGTGTCTGAGGGGGCTGGAGTGCAGAAGCCCTATTTCAGTCGTGAAAACTCTGAATTATTGGGAATTCCTTTAAAAAATATCATAGACCTTGTTTTGGAGTCAAACAATTTCAATCTTCCCTGACAGTAAATACAGTATTTACTTGTGCAGGTGGAGAAAAAGATGGTTTGATGCAGGGCTCTGAACATAACTGAAAAGTCATCGCAGTGCTACAGCTGCTGAAGTATGAAGCCTCAAGTCCGTCGGCAGCTCCTGTGATGGAGCTGGGAGCTGTGCCTGCAGGAGGGTCAGACAGAAGGACACTGCGACTCTGAAGGCAGGTTGTGGCTTCTGCACTTGGGTTGTGCTGGCGCAGACACAGTGACAGATGGAAGGAGGCTTCTGCGGGTGGGAGGCGTAATAAACTTACATGAAAAAATGAAGTAACTTCCATGTGCTGTCACAATAACTTGGAATAAAACCTCCCAGGCACATTTTAATTATCCCTTTAGCAGTTGCATGTGCCAGAACTTCTAATGGCACATCTCCAGAGCTTAATGATTTTGCAGAATAATTAAATTGTCAGCCATGTGAACCTCCTCCACCTGACCTCTGCACGCTTGCGTGCTGTTTCCCTTGCTTGGCATACATATACCCTTGACACGTTCCTGAGTTCCCTCACAGTAGGCAGTGACTGCCTAGCAATCCAGTATCAGGCAGTTTCACAGTCTTAAGCAAAATATAGAATAATGCAATTCTCAAGGCCAAAAACGTCCTATGAATATGGTAACAGTAATAACTTGTACTTTTAGCTCAGGATTATATGCAAGTCTGACAAGCCCTAGGACCATTTCTGGCATCTGTAAATGCTAAGTTAACATTATTGTGATAGTTGTAGTATACTTGTAGCTGTTGTAGTCCAGCTAAAGCAGTTAATAGCACTGCATTCCTGGTCACAGCTTTGGTTGACTCTTCTTCCGTAACCTCATGCTTCTGTCCTTGTGCATCACCCTGTGACCTGCCTGGTGAGCAAGGGACCTTTCCGGCAGGTTGGGGATGTACCTGCTAGAGACCCTGCTCCCCAGCCATAGTTACTTCTGTGTTTCTTACAGTGCAACGAAGGGGTCTGCATCGGATAACACAGAACGGGAGCGTGAAATGTCTAAGCAAAAATGAAGCTGCGAGGCCAGTCTTTGTTACTCCCTGTCTGCAGTGAACGTGCCTCCCTGCATTAATAGTCTCGGATGATAGCTGGACCGCTGCAAGCATGAGTAAGTGTCAGATGTGAAAGATACTGGGACAGATTCTATCCTTGGATTTGTGATACTGTTCATAGCAGCAATCAGTAGTTTGTGTTTATTTCTTTTTTTTTTTTTTCATTCATATGTTGTCTCTTGGATTTTACATTAAAAAGTTACCTCTCAAATTCGCTTCTTTTTTCTGATACTCTGCTGCTAGAAGACGGAGGCTACCTAATTTTTCTGTCCTTGAAGAATTCCAGTTGTAGTTTATCCTGAGGTACTGTTACTGGTGACCTAATAGACAAGTTAAACTATCAAACAGTGTCGTATTTAAAATGTCACTCTCTTAATAACCCTAGAATAAAAACAGATTCATGACGGCAGGCAAACTACCTGAACTTGTTATGAAATCTGTAATTGTCACACTAATCTAGACCTAACTGTTATGATGGATCTGAGTGGAAGCTGGCAAAAGGAACTGTATGTTCACAGTGTAGTGGGACTCCCCTGAGCAGTCCTAGGAGAACTCCTTTTTCCTAGAACAAGCTGAGAAGATAGGTGACTATTGACTATGATATGCAGGGGGCAAACATGAAAGGCATCTCAGGGCAGGACACTTTTCTGGGTGAGTCCGTTGCACTGTAACACCTGGCTGTTAAAGGCATGGGAGGACAGAGGAAAGAGGGGTGGCACTTTGGCCAACTTAGCTTTCTGGAAGGGCCACGAAAATATCAGCTACACAAGGGGAGAGGTTTTTATTACCTGCCTTAGCTTTACTGTACGCATGCAATCTGGCGTGGAAAATCTGAGTAAGTGAAGATGGACAAAATGCAGTTAAATACAGTTTATTTTGCCTGCCACCACACACAAATAATTAAATAACAAAAGCTGATTTAGCAGAGCACTTGACTGTCTTGTAACCAGTCTTTTAATGCTAAAACAAATTAAAATCCTTGCAACAGGAAACAGTAGTGAAATGATCTTTCTATGAACATCGGTTTTAGATGTGATGAGAAAGGTGAACCTCACTTCATGGCCAGAATGAAGCTTGGACAGCACTTCATACTAAGGAGGGCTGTAGATAATGTGAGTTTTCATACAGATAAGGAGCAATTTAGAAAAATAAAGTTCCTACCCTATTACATGTATGATCCAATCCAGGAGCAAACACAAACCTAGTCTGTATGACAGTCAGTTTTAACAAGGCATGGGACGCGAGCATTTGGTTAATTCAAGAGCAAAAACTCTTTTAAAAGTGAATAAAAACCAGAATGGAACATAATTAGGCTTGTCTTCAACATCCAGCTGCAAACATCTTGAAGCACTGTTGTTACGCAGAACTTAGTCTTCTGAAGTCTCACCAGCTCACTGATACATTGGCCTCTCGCCTCTCTAACGAGGGTAGGCAGAAAATCATGTAATTGGTGTGAAGCCTTTTAGGACATCAGAATCTCACCTCTCACCAATCCACTGCTACACCTGTAAGCGAACTACATGGCTCTGGTCCTGGATGGAGCCAAAAGCTCCTGGTTAGTTGTAGTTTGAGTTGAACCTTGATTAATGTCTACAGTAGTTACTGTCCATTTGTGTTTTACAGAGTCTGTGGGATCTCCCAACTAGCTTTACCCTGTACCCTCTTTGTTAATCTTTAAATTGTGTGGATAATTTACTGTGATATTCTATGACATTGCTTCTGTTGTGTTTTAGTAGCATTCTAAAGTCTGACTTCAAAAGGTTTTGGTGTTCAGTATCAGAGAACTGGAACTTATCAGAGCGGACAAGCATTCAGTGCACTAATACTGCCGTGAATTCGAGGGGTTTTGTGTTCTAAACTAGTCCAGCTCTGAGGTGAAGTACCAGGAACACAGAGTACCTCACCGACTGTCTGACAGGAAACAAACCCCTCACTATGTGTCAGCAGAACCAAAAGCGTTAACAACACTTGAAGCCCTTCAAGCTGCACAGAGGTGTGAGCAGGACACGCATGTGCCAGGTTCTGTATCTCCAGGTTTCCTTTAAGGGCTTTTAAATAACTTAAAGGGGAGCTTAATCCTAGTACATTGTAACTTTTTTTTTCCTTTTGAAAGGCCTCTCAGAGCTTGGTAGCGCACTCTCCTATTCACCTTTTTTGTTGTTGTTTTTAGCGTGGGTCAATCCTAAAGTTTTCAGGCACTTACATATGTGAATCCAACAATTCCCATCTGAAAAAAGCATTCTTTCCTCACACTTAATCTGCCTTGAATCAGGATCTGTGTTAGAAATAATGTGCTCAAGTGCAATTCTCGGGTAACAGACGCACCTGAAATAAACACCAAACCCAAATGTAATTCAGGTTGCATTCCCTTGAGGAGGTCTGTGCATATAGTCATCTGAGGTGCAGCAAAGAAGCAGTAATAGAAAAACTGTTTCATATCTATTAACTGCATTGAAAGCCAATTTCTATGCTTTGTGTAGTATTTGTTTGCAGTAGGCAACTCTACTGATGGGCACTGAACACTCGGTTCTTACGCTTTTGAAAAGAGATTAAATAAACAAACTTGCAACTAAACTCGTTACTGCTCATTCTCCCTCCTGTACTTGGCTCTCAAACTTTTGAAGGGCGTAGAAGAGTGGTTAACCCCTGAGGTAGCGCTGATTCTCTGAGAAAGTTATCTTCCCAGATTACTTTTAAGATGGAAATAAACTGTAATGGAACTATATTCTCTCAGCTACAGTAAAAGTAGCAGTTTATCAGTAGACTGATTTTACTTTAGCAGGTAAAATTCATGGAACAATCGGGAGGGTTTCAGTCAGTGTTTAGCCAGCTCTTACTGTCAAATGGCCAGAATAATTCAGTGGGTCCTCTCTTAGGGCAAAGCTGCTTCTGTTAAGTGATCTTCATTTCCTTCCCTGTTGTTTAGGTATCCAAACCTTTCACTAGTGCTGCGCTAACGAAATCTGTGAAGCAAGTGAATAGTGGGATTTGGTAGTTACTATCGTGCTTGCCAGTGATTTCTGTGCTAGAAAGAAAAGCATTTCCTGGAAGAGACTGAAAATTCACTATTAAATGTTGGCAGTTTAAGATACTATCATTATATTGGAATGCGTAGTGAGGAAAGCCACCCAAAACTCTCTATAGTAAAATGCTTGCTGAATTGTCTACCATGATTTCTTTTTTTTTTAATTAAAAATTAATACTTGTTACATTTTCAAGTGTAAATACTGAAAAATAGCCTATGGCAAAATGAAAAGGCACAGGATTAAAAATAGCTTAATTGTTTCCATGGATACATGTTCACTATTTGGCAAAAAGTATTTTATACACTTTCTACAAGAATAAGCATCATTTTAAATATATCTCTGAAGGGAGGGACCCTGTAATTTTAACCGTAACAACAGAATTTGTACTCTTAAAAATGTGATCTTTCTAGAATATCTCACTTTAAGGTCACGTTGCAGTCGTTCTTTGGAGCGGAGGAACTCAAGTGTAGTAGGAGAGTGCAGCTTTGCGTTAAGTTAGCAGCCGACAGGCATCGTAACATCCAGCTCACTTTGTAACATATCCAAACAAGCAGCAGTCTCTTACAACAAAGCGGTGATCAAGGTGCAAGTACACAGACAGCACGAGAGTTTAAACTAGCTCTAACCCAAATTTGGGAAGAATGCCCCAGAAACTGAATGGGAATACTGGAAACCAGTTCCCGAGAGTTTAAACTAGCTCTAACCCAAATTCGAGAAGAATGCCCCAGAAACTGATGGGAATACTGGAAACCAGTTCAGTGAAACATCTCAAACAGGTTTGCTGAGTCTCAGAAGGTGTAGTTGTAAGATGTATTAAAATTATTGTTCCTTTCTGAAAAATAGACATATAGGTGTCTGTTGGTTTTGCTTTGATGTAAGAATTAGTCTCTGTAACCCTGATGCGGTATCGTAGTAACAGTCAGGATGTCATCTGAAACAGTCGTTTCTGTTCTGGAGCTTGGGGTGGCTTTCAGCAGGGCCCATCAGTCACCGAGATACCTGCGTACTTCCCAGCGGAACGGTGAGAGCTTCAGCGCTGCAGCCTCCTCCGTTCTCACGACAGTAGCTGCACCGTTAGCCTTGGCTGTGACTGAATGGGAGGACGTCAGGCACGTCGCTGGCAAGAACTGTCTGTTGTGCCACCAGAGTATCTGCCATTCTCGCCAGTGTTCTTTTTGGTTACCACACTCGGCATTTCTCTGCAGGATGCATGGCTGTGCCTTTTTTACAGCGGAACACCTCTGAGAACGCTTCAAAGTTCTGCAAAGATCCCATCACCCTGAACAAAGAGAAGGAGCTTGTTTACATGGATACAGTGCATGGAGATTGTTGCTCTGGAAAACAGAAAGCCACGTCCATAAAGTGATTTAGAGTCTCATAACACAATTAAAGTCTCAGAACATGGGGTACTTTATGCAAGAAAAATATAGCTAATATGACTAATGAAAAGCTAAAACAAACACAGCACAGGGTAAGCGGGTTCTGGTCCGTTCTCTATAGACTGGCAAATTTACCAGGCCAAGTAAAGGAAGGTACTCTTCAGCAGTGTCCTGCAAGCTATGGGAGAAATTCTGGAAGTTAGTCTAGATTTATCTTGTCTTTCAGAACACAGCTGCTAGCAATGAGCCGCGCTCTCCTTTTGCGCTGTGTAGGTGCAATGGGTTGAACCAAGGAAGTTACCCATTAGTAAATCAGTAAAACCCACCTGTATTTCAGAGGGCTGTGAACATCTGTCTTTATTGACTGGCTAGCATATTCTGGTCTGTAGGAACCACACCAAACCTAGATAAGGAGGATTAATAATTAGTGAGTCAGTATTAAAGGGAGTTCAGTTTGGGGAGCCATCCCAATTTGTTACAATATAGTTAGAATACATTTTATAGAGGAGGCAGAAGAGATACAATTATTTACTAATTAGTTTTTGATTTATCAAGTTCTTGCATCAAGATCTGGTGCTTTGGAGTAGATATATTAGCTCTTGGTTTCACCCTTGTGTTGCCTCAAACAGGTGAGCTTAAGTCTAAGAGTCTGAGGCACAACAATAAGTGTGTTGGCCTACTGTCAAATATTGGAACTACTGTTAAATATTTGTTACTCTAAGACTAAACATATCGGAGTTTCTTATCCAGTCTGAAGGATGAAGTTCAGCTCAGCGAACTTATCTGCATTGTAATGAAGTGGCATAGAGGAAAATAAGTGGAATCTGTAGCAACATCTGTGATCTGAATATGTATTCCTATTTCAGGGCTGCTGGCTTGGTATTTCTCAGGCATTCAGTTTTCTCCAGCACATGTTAAAAAATGGATGAAACCCTGTCTGTATGGAAAGCAAAAGGAGTTTTCTCATAAATGCTAGTGGAACCAATATTTGCATGAAATGGCAAGCTCTTGGAAGATGTCCCCCGTAAGTTGTTGTCTGACACACCTTTATGTTGGTGGATGCCCTGTTTCTCTGTATCCTCACTCCGGCAGGTTTCAGTAGTGCCCTCAGAAAAGCTATGGAAAACTCCTTCCTCTAAAGGAAACCACTAAACCACCTTATTCACATCTGTCTGGAGGACCTCTTGATGGGTGCAGTCAATGGTGAATCACTGTCTGAGTGGAGCTTGGGACTGATTTTCTCTCTAACCTTTAGGATAACCTAATTTACGCTTTCATGCAGCATGTAGTGGCTGCATCCAAGTGTTCTTACCTGGGCAAAGTTGAGGAAGAAGAGCTGTTTGTGGGACAGATTCAGTCCAGGCAACTTTGGCTCCTTCCCTTCCCGTTCCAGCCATTTTAAGTAGGCCTAGAAATGATCACAGATTCAATTCAGAGAAGCAGCAGAATGGCCTATTCAGGCAGGATGGGTACTTTGAAAGTTATTTCGGGGTGAGAGATTTAGTCACAACGTATATGAACTCAACATGTCTTCCCTTCTGTATTTTCGTAGTTTTCATATTTCTAATACAAATAGTACACTTGATTTTATGAAAAAGCTGTCATCATCATAAGAACTCTGTTGACTTTTCTAGTAAAAAAATGAAAAACAAAGATAATTTGCATTCAACTTCTTAAGTACAGTAATCTCTAAACTGAAAACCTTTATAAAACAGGGAAAAAGGCCAAAGTCTTACATGGGAGTGGAGTTTTAGAGCGGTCATTACTGTTGGCTGGTTGACCCCCACTGCAAGAAGCTATGGGTGTTCTTTACGGAGTCACTGGGAGATCTGTTCCGAATTTCTTCAGCAAGGTGTCACTCACTGTTTCAGCGACAGGTATGCCACTACCTCGATGGACCATTCGTTTGCTATTGTGTCTCAGCCAGCAAGCATGACAAAGTGTGACTGTTAATACTATGTTTAAATATAGCTGGTGATGCATATCAAATCAATAACACTGCAGAGACTGAATGCCCGTGACTGCAGTTTGAAGTAAAATCATCAGCTTTCACTGACATCCTCTATAGGAATTTGTACCTGACAATAAAGCATTAAGTCTTCTCCACAGTTCTATGGTGATGATTTTTATCTCTTCAGGTAACTGCTCATAAAATAGCAGATAATAACCTTGCTCAATGTTAAATCCATTACCTTTTATTGTTACACATTAATTGGCCAATTTTCTTTTTTTAGGTATATTGACACAATGGAGACAAGTTAATGTGTCCTCATGCTGGTTGATTTCAAACGTGCTGTTACCTTATCCTCTTGGTTGCTGAGATAGTCCCAAAGCACACAAAACATAAAAGGTAGAGCTGAGGGTGAAAATACATCCAGCACCACAGAACATGAGAGGATTCTGTATGCAGGCAGTTTATGTCATACCACACTGCTCTTCCACATTTGTAATAGCTTTTAGAACCATGTACATACTCACTTTAACAAAGTAATTCATTTTAATGGCATCCCTCAGACTCAGGATAGTCACTTTAGATTTCTGAAAATTCAGGGTATTCTTCTAGGAACACCCTTAACTGTTGCCACATTCAAAACACCAGAGAGAACAGGTTTTACCATGATATCTGTTAGGATTATTCATAGAAAAGAACATTTCATGCTCACACCTGAGCTGCACACGGAAAGAGCCTCTGTGCTGGTAACTCCTGTGTTCCTATTCATTAACGATGGCTTGTAAACCTGGAGGATTAAAGTTACTGGACTTCCCTGAGTCTGGAAGCTGACTTCCCCTGGTAGAGCAGGAGAAATAAGGTGATATGCAATAGTGTTTCTAACAGGCAAAACCATGCTGAACACCACAGTTTTTCAACCACAGCATGGAGGTAGTGCTCTGAAACACCAGTTGCATTTCTCTTGTTTTCAAAATAACTGACTGGTTGAAGCAACCTTTTGCCTTGGAAGAAGGCTGGCAGTTCTGAGCTTACCAGCCCTTGTATTTTTATTCTGCTTTCTAGCTGCATGGAAAATAAACAGCAGCAAGGTAGAAGGGACTTTTTTGTTATTTTGGTAAAGCTTATAAAACATATAAAGAAAGCAACAAAAGGAGGTAGGCTTTTAGAGACAGGTATTTTGGCTGATATCTCTTGGGAAAGAGATGGGTATTTCCATCTATTCTTTTCATGTCCTACCTGACGTGTCACTTTTGAGATCAAAGATGAAAAGCGTGAGAGAATTAAACTTGCAAAAACCAGTTGCCCTGCTTCATAATATCACTAAACTGTGTTGCCAAGAAATTAGCGCTCTGTTGCCATGTGAAAAGCTTTCTGAAGTTGTGGCTGCCATTTTCAGAATTAAGGGCTTTAGAAAATGGAGAGTGTTTTACCTTCTTCCTAGGTAATACTGTGCCTATTTATGAACGTTGCCCTTGTTCACCTGAGACAGAAGTATGCAGCATCAAGCGTTGTAGTACAGCTAGGAGAATTAGGTGGCCTTTTCCTGAGTGCAAGAATGCCAGCAGTCCTACACTGTGATTGGATCTATGGGGACATAAGCTTCTAGATGTATAATAGAGGCTTTAAGTTTTTGAATATGGTCATAACGTGTTAATTGTCAATTTTTTAATGACAGAATAGGTAACCCCGTGGCTGAATCCCAGAGGTAAAGTTAATTCACAGTGTATTTGAAAGTTACCTTATAAGCCTGTCGGACTCCTCCATTATCTGCAATATTTTCTCCTAATGTGCTTATTCCACTGACCTGTAAAAGAATAATCGTTCATTTACTTTACAGTCAGTAACATTAGCAAGCCTAAGAACCACAAGCTGAAGCAGAGTCACATATCACAGACAGACAGTCAAGTCTGGAACAGAAGGAAGCAGTGACTTTGTGCTAGGGCAAAGAAAGGAGAGAATGAAAAAGAAAAATTAACAGGGTAAAAGCCGTAGATTAGAATAGAGGGAATATATACGAATATAACATGAACAGAATGGGGGCTGCTAGGGAGAACATATGCTAGCGGGACTGGCAAAGCACAGCAGCAAACACCAGATTTCCACCCTGCCTTGCAAAAAACATTTCATAGGGTCTGGCAGCAGAACCACACGTGGGCCTGGTTCATCATTAACCCAATGGCACACAGATATTGCTGGTTTTCTAGGCTACGCTAGTATCCCCAGTTTACAAGAAACCACCCCTGTATCTTATTTCCAGAACAATTAGCCTGTAGTATGTGGGATTTAATGCTTTCTCCATTTACATTCATTATTTTTCGGTATAAAAAACACCAGTGGGGTGAAATGTTGTTTTTTTTTACTTACATTTTGTCCTCCAGCGAGCTCCCATGTGTAGTTCCCGTACTGATAAACCATGCAACGAGACTGTTCCTTGAAATGCATGGCTGAGAAATTGCTCCACCAGTCAAACATATTTCCGTCTTTATCAAAATTCCTCCCTGTATGAAAATCCAAGAGAAAAGGGAAGACTGTATCTGTTTCTTTTTAACGTTAGAGCTGCACTTCCTCCTCTCTTTCCTCCTTGGATTTAGTTGGTCTGTGCTACAGAGATTTATCGGCAGTGTTTTTGTCACAGTTGATTCTGCTTTGGCACAAGGGAATGGACCAGATGAACTGCAGTCCTTTCGTGTGACAGAACTGAGGTTCAAAGAGAATTAACTACTTTGCCACAGCAGGAGGAAGCTGGAATTGCAGTTCTGGTGTTTGTGTTCTCAGCTCTCTGGCTAAAGCATGCTTTTTATTCCAAGACTATATTGTGTGCTTATGTGTAATCTGCACAAGCTTAATTAACATAAAATAACCACATTGAAGAAAGCCAATGTATAAGAAATTACTAGCTTATGGTATCAGAAGTGAGTTTTTGGCCAAAGCTATTTTACATAGCATTCTAGAAAGATAATAAAGTCAATTTATTTTAAATGTTTGCGTTGAAAAAAAAAGTCTCCTGTGATCAAGACACTACTGACAGCTCTTCTATCCAAAGAACACAGTTCCAAAATTTCATTTTACTTTCACAGCCAGTATATCTGCTTGCATTGTATTTCCGATCTGATGATGCTGTAAAAGTAACAGTTTTTCCTGAGAATTCTCATTGACTCAATTTATTTTTCACATCTGATTACCTCTTGTGTGAAACATTCACCGCAAAATGTTCAACGTAATGTTAATAGCGTGCTCCCGGATAGTGCCTTAGCGGGTGTACGATCGTGTGCGCACCGATACTTCAGTCACTGGTGTGTGACTCATTTCTTACAGTGCAATGTCTGCAACTGAAAGAAGAATATTTTCTCAGTTATCTTCTCACCGTTGTCATCAAACCCATGAGTAATTTCATGCCCGATAACCATCCCGATCCCTCCAAAGTTCAGGGCTTGTGGCTGGTGTTTGCTGAAGAAGGGGGGCTGTAGAATCCCAGCAGGAAAAACTGCAAAAAGGGGAAGAGAGAGGGAGATACTGTAAGGTAGCTTTATTTTTGCATACTTTGCAGGCAGTTTGTTTGCTTGGTTTAAGCATCAGGATAGAACATAAAATACAGAATGATTAGAAACAACGTCAGGCCTCCTCATGTGAAACTGTTTCTCTCTTGATAAATGGAAAATGACAAGTTAATAAATGTTTAATTTAGCACATCTGCCACTACAGTATCTCCTTGTTTGAGAACCAAGCAACATTTCAACTTCAGCCTAATCTGGTCTGTAACGTATGCTGCAGTAAGTCAAGACCAAAATGTTGAGTAACTCTCTTTTGGAGACAGGTACAGTTTGTGTTTTACAGCCATTTTATAGGGGAACTAATGGATGTTTTATTGCTTTATTTTTGTTCAAGAAAGGTTAGCAATCATATGCTGATTACCAACAATAGTCAGTGTGTAAAACATGCACAGCAGTAATTCCTACAGCCCCCCCAGTGCACCTGGATGCCGGGTGGCGGGTAGGGGGAGGTCTGTCCTTCCTCAGTCGACTGGCAAAAGCATTGTATAGAGTCAATGGGGTTTAGTCTTCGCCCCATGTATGTAAAATGAAAAGCATATAGGCTTCTAGAGGAATTAAGGTCGTAAGCAATTCATTCTAATAAGATACTTTCTAAGAAGTGAGATACTGAAATTATATAGCAAATATTTCATTTAGAGACAAAACCCTTCCGACTATATAGGTTTTACCCATATAGTTTTGGGGACATGAAATTTCTAAGTCAGACTGCAGTAAGACAGAAGCAGGAAACTGAAAGTAGTGTGGAAAATTGCTTTCCTCAGATTAGAGACAGGAGGAAACAGGATTTAAGACATCTACACTACCGTGGGTAGCTGTGCTTGGATTTTTGGCTTGCATATTCATCTTTAAGTTGCTTAAACCAGTGACTTCAATATTACTCATCAGGGCAAACTTGCAGAGGTACCAGTCTTCTTTAAGACTTGAGTTCCCTGCCTGGAAAGCTGGCTCACAGCTGATTATGATCAGCATAAAACCACAGTAGATAAATAGGGACCTGAGCTTGACTACAAGTATAGCTCTGAGATGATCTGCATTGGGAAGCTACAGGAGCACCCTGCCATGGCTGAAGGACTGGTCTCAGCTTTTACTGTACCTACAATATGGAGGTAAGTGGAAGCTACACAAGCAGAAACCAGCTCTTTCTGATGAGGATGGAGGGCTAAGTTATAAGCACTTTGGATGTTTCTGTTTTTAGCAGTTATCTATGTTTTCCCTTGTGACGGTTGGTCAGTTGGTTGGGCTGCTTTCTGTTTCTGGCTTTTGCCCTGTGAGCAGGGTACAGCTGCTGTCTGGTATAAAAAAGGCATGGATTTTTCCTCTTACGGTATTTGGCAGTATGTGGATAGTAGATCTTGGCAATCTGGGCATTTTAATTAGCACTGCTTAGTAGAAATGATTTGGTTCCTTTCTTGTTTGGGGTGCTCAGAATTTTGCAAAGTCTCTTCAGCATCTCCAGGTTTAACCTGAACTTCTGGCCACCTGCAGCAGCTCAGAGATCAGGGAGCATGGGGAGCCAGGCAGGTCCACTGTGTCTTAAGTCTGATGATATTCTCTGCTGAGAACAAGAAAGGTCAGCCTAGCAACTCTGCAAAAACTCCCAGATCTGACGTTCTGTAAGCAAAGGCAGGTTTCTTTAGTGTGGTATGCCTCTTATCAATACAATTTCAGCACCATCTGCACATACAGCAAACTGGAGGGCTGCCCATATGTTTATCAGGAATGTGGAAACTCAAGTACAAACAGCCCAGAACACACTGAGCATTCTCTGGTCTCTGAAGCTGGCACTCGTATAGTAGCAGTTACTGTCTCAGGCTTTCAAACATAAGGCTGATCCAGTTACAGTACATACGCTGTGCCTGCCAAGTGTGGGGAGGGGAAGCTGAACATCCATCAACAAAGCGACTGCTTGAAAAGAACAGCCGGTCTACCTTGCCCAGGATTGCCATAAGGGCACAGGCAGGTTTGCCTCTGAGCAGCTGACATGCATCCTTGTGGTGCAAAAAATTATTAATTAGTTCCATGCAGCTGTTTAAAATTGTTGTAAACCTACCTATCTGGTTCCGGTTTGGGGAATAGAATGCATTGACCACTGCAGCTCCAATTATCCATCTAAAAATAAATGTTGCACACAAAGTTAGTCATGATTCTTGTTTTTCCCCACACATTCTTTTTATTGAATTATTCTTGTTAAAAAAATGTAGGCTGTATATGAGGAAACGACTGAGTTGGAGAAGAAGGGTACCACTGAACACAGCTGTAAAGAAATACTAATACCAGGAAATAACTGGTGTCTCATTTATAAGCACCTTTCATTCAGAACAATGCCAAGTCAAAGTGAGGGAAATGCTTTTGCTCTTGAATGTCGAACAGCCACTTTCAGGCTGTACATATGGAAACTGTTTACCAGCTCATCTTAACGCTATCTAAGCTTAGAAGAAATGAATAGTTCACATTCAAAAGAAAACTAGCATTTAGAGGACGTTCTGAGCAGCAGAAGGCAGTTACTCAAATTGGAAGTTAAGACCAAAGTTGTATGTCGAAAAATTGAAACTAATAATCACAGTCAGGTATATAAATGTCTGCATTTGGAGTCAAGTATTTCATACACAATGAGTGTTAACTCTGAGAAGTTATTTTTAAGTAGGCTACTGCTGGAAACTCTCTCCAATAGCTTGGTAACTTTTTATTCTTTGTATTTCTCTGTCTTTTCCCCTTCTCTTCTACCTCTGATATACACTTCTAGTCAGTCTGCTCTTATGAACCATGCAGTAACAGTCTGAAGCCATGAACTCCTGATAAGTACTCAGCAGCACCAGCTTTGCATATTCTTCTTCCCACATCCCTTGTCCTCACAGCATCTTGTGATGCCCTAGTTGCTGTATCTGCTATATTTTGACATAACTACTTGTGGGCTGCTCTGCAATGGAATCGGATTTCCTGTTTAAGAAATACAGCACATTTCAAAAACTGAAAGATATAGATGAATCAGTTATTCTGGACTAATAGAACAGAGAGGACTGCTCATCACAGCCGGGGAAAAGGAGTAAGTGGTAGAGATGAGTTGTGCTGATATTGCCACGAATCTTTGTGTAACACATGCAGCGAGAGGGAGCAGGAATCTGTTCCTGAATTCAAGGGGGTACTTGAGAATTTTTCAAAACAGCTTTGCTCTGAAGGCCAGCCTGTTGTGAAAACACGTTTTTGGTGCGTAAGCTTCTCCTTGATATGCCTGACATGAAATGTTTGTAGCTGGCCAGGTAGCTTGTAATAATGGCCCCCTCAAGAAGGCTATGATTATGAAAAATGGCTAGTTTTCTTAATTGCAGTGATTAGCTAATAATATCAGCAATATTAGTTATGAACTCTCCTTCAGTTTAATTAAACAGTGATCTGGAGTGATAAGTGCTTTTACATCTCCTTGGGGAAACCCTTCAAGCTGCTGGATAGACATCACTAGAAAGATGCAGTTCATTATGTGAAAAAAAAGTGCAAATTATTGGTGTTTTCTGTATCATGAAACTACCAGGCAAAGAAGGCCTAATCCATGAAAAGGTTCCCACAAATGTGCTTTAAACCACACCTAGAATGAGCAGAGGTATTGGGAATTTTGGCTAATGGGCTACCATCTGTGTCTGTAGACAGACTGTAAAAGTCAGCGGTGATCTGTAACAGTTTGTGGATTAAGAAAACCAATGCTGTGCAAGAATTTTGCTATGAAGAGCACTAGGATTGATTCCCCAAGAAATGAGGAGGCAGAAAAGTGCTCTGTTATTTAGCTGACTGATCAGAAAACTCCCTTGGTGAATTATTCATCAGTAATTCACTGGGGGTTTCTAAGCGTGTGCATTGTGTGCTCGCATTCGGAGTTAAAACCAGCTCACAGAAAGCAGGATAGAAAAAGTGAATCAGCTTTGCAATAGTTAACTTGGCTAATGCCTCCCTTTGGGGAGTTCTTGTTTGCTTGCTTATTAATAACTCTGTGTTAATTTACATTTTGTGAATAGGTGTTTGAAATTCTTACTGGAATCTACTTTCCTTTGTCTCAAAACATTCTCTTCTAGCATCACACAGGCTGGAAGCCTGCTAGTGAACACCACATCAAGTTGGCATTAGCTTCCTTCCTTCTGCCTTCCATTACAGTGTATCTGTCAGTAATGTGTTCAGCAGTAGCTTTGCAGGTGGCTTCCTGATCTGGACACCTCCAACACAGCTAACTGGACTATCAGAAGTTCAGAGTGGATAGCTCATAGCTCTGGAAATCAGGTCATATTCCAAGGCATTTGTTGTTGAACATACAAGCCAGGGCTTCTGGGACGTATCCATGTCATGGGCTTGGCAGGAACTCAGCTGTGCTTGAAGGACTGGAGGGGTTGTCCTGGTGATGTTGTGCAGTAATACTTACTGGTTAGTGATGCCAGCTGCTCACCTTGCAGCTCTTAGTAGCACATTCATAAATTGTTGCTTTTGATTGTTTTAAGACTAGCACTAGCTGATAATTTGCCTAAGAGTAGAGAACTGTGAGGTAACAGCTAGGGCAATGCAGCCGAAGACCCAAGACTTACTCAGGGTGCATTTATGGAGTCAAAGAACAGATCATGAAGCAGCCAAACCTGCACCCATGACAGGAAGTTCCTGAAAAATATGTTTATACTTTACTAGGTGCAGTGTGAGGTAATTGGCTGCAAATGGACATCAATTGGCTCAGCTTTCCCAAGATTGGGCATATTTCCAACAGAATTCCAGCCAGCACATTTTAAGCTTTTTTTTTTTCCCTGAATATAAATTTTTCAGAAGTACCCTGATATATCTCACCTCCTCCTTGTTCAGTTGTCAGAAAGATTTGTCACTGCTTTTGTGCTAAGTAGCTTCAATGTAGTATCTGAATGTGAAGCAGCTTAATGAAGGATTAAAGAGATGCTAAGAGAACAGGATGAATTCCTATCACAAAAGGCAATGAACTACTTGTTTGCTTCTGTCTGAGATCTTATAAGATACTTTCTTAATCAGTCTCAGCTATCCACAGCATATGACTTCAGCATGATGACCACTATGTCAGAACTGAGATTGTGGCTGCAGCATGCAGTCTGGAAACTTACACATCTTGGTCAACTCTCTCTCGAAGTTTTTTCAAGCTCTTTTGGGCTCCAGCTCTCAGGTTTTCCAGAATGTTTTCAAAGTAATTCTGTTCACTGAAGTTTAACTAAAGAACAGATATCCAAGTATATTAGTAAGCTGTGAGGAAAGAGGAATTCCTCATACTACTAAATAGTTAGCTCTTTGCATGCATTTACTTATTAAAATGTTCAACACAATCAATTTTGTATGCTGTCCAGTCACTTGGAAATGACAGTTGCACAGGTATAAGTATTTCAAGTGGCAAGGAAATAAGTGTAGGCTTTTATATTGAGGTTCACACAGCATACTTACATTGGCATATTCCTGATCTAGTTTTTCATTCTGATCTTCCAAAATATAATCTGGATAGCCAATTTGTTCTTTAATTGCCATTGCCTAGAAGAAAAGAGTTTAATGTTTCCTCTTAATTGTGTTTTTTTTTTTTTTTAAAGTTGCAATACATGTAGCAGTTCAAATTCTTTATTGCTATTGTCCACCCATTTGTGAGAAACTGGTTGTAAATATTTAAAGACCTTGTTCAAATGCACCCTGTTGCCTAGTGAAACTTTTTTAAAATATGAAACATTCAGTCTTCCTCTCACCTACTGGTGTCCAGCCACTGTGGTAGACTTGCAGACCCTACAGCACCATCTGACAGGCACTGGGCTTAACACTCATCTAGTGGGGTGGTTTGTTTTCCCCCCCATCCCCCCCTGTGCTATTGGAATGGTGCTGATGGTCCTAAATTCAATGAAATGTTTGAAAAGTTTTCTTTGGGGGTGTTGCATTGTATTCAGTTGTCATTCTAGTAGATGCATTTGGTGCCATCTTCTCTCCTCATTTATAACATGGTTCACAAGACTTATTAAAGGAAATAAAAATGTATGTGAGCTAACAAAAGATTAAAAAGAAATGGACAATGTAATAGGATAATGGATAACAGGATAGTGAATGTCAAAGTTTTTCCCTCTCACTTGTAGAGGAACTGAGAATAGCGATACTACAAAAGTCCAAAGATTTCAGATTCATGACAGAATACTGAAGTGCCTTGTTATCTCTCACCTTCTCACGAGCTTTCTCTTTAGATGCCTCATCCATCCACTGTAACTCATCTAAAGTCTCTATAAACACTTCACGAATCTTCTCTATTAAATCTCGGACCTAAAAGAGAGGCAGGAAGAAATTAATCATCTAAATGCTATTTTTCCCAGGCACAGCTAAGGAGGTGTGAAAGGCTTCCTACTGTAAGATGATGTTCCCAAATTCTATGCTTTAAAACATGGCACTCAGCATTTAAAAGAGCATCATAAATGAGTTCTTATGCCTTCTGACTCTTGGCTGATTGGTGTCTTTAGCAGACAAAAAACGTTGGGAGATCAGATGGAGGGGAACAGGCACTGTAGACATTGTGGATGTACAATAGTATGAAGGGTAAACTACATACCATCCTCTTGCTCTCACCAGCAAATGTCTCCCTGACATACATTGCTCCCACTGCATTCTCCATGTTGTTGTTGACGTAACTCACACACTCCCTCCAGCGGGCTTCTTCCAGTGTTGTCCCATAAAGTGCCTGCAATGCAAAACATCACAGGATTAGTGCTGCCTATGCATCTCTCTTCTAAATCATTGCCTAAAGAGGAGGTTAACCTCCAAAGGTTTCGATTGTTCACTGCTGTTCTTGGACTTGCTTGGGGATTACGTGACATAACAATGTTGTTGTATCGACAAGGACTTGATTTGGTGACTGCAGGACTCTCTTCTATGCTCTACAGCCTCTTTAGGAAGAGAGGAAATACCTTCCTGTAGCTGGCCCGAGCATCCTTGAAACGACGACTCAAGCTGCTGACTCGATCGATTACTAATCGCCAGATGAGGTAGTTCTGGATGGTGCTGTGTGGGAAAGCAAAGCTGAGTTTAATCCTCTGTGAAAGGCAACACTAGTGCAGACAGTCAGAGAGGGATCTCAATTTTGAGTGGTGATAAGAAAGCAAACGATTGCTGCCAGCCATCAGTTTTATAGCATCTACAGGTGAGTGTCCTTTAACAGGCTGGCTGACTGTAGAGGCATCCAGGCTGAGGACTGTGCCACCATGTCTGTTCAGGGATTAATTTCTTTATTTTTTTCTTCTAGAGTGTAACAAAAGCAAAGCCTGTGATGCTTGTGTTTTTTTTTTTCTTCCCATTTAACCTTTTCTAAGAATGTGAGCAGGTGAGACTCCTAGTGCCAGAGTACTTGGGGGACCTAGGAGCTTAGCAGACATTACCCATATTTCACAGGGAAGTGCTGTCACTTTTGTCAGAGAAGCTCTGGCAGGACTAGCAAGTGGGCCCAATAATTTACATTTCCACAATAGTTCTGTGACTTTTTGTCTTGGATATTCTCCAATTTCTTTACCTTGCTGAGTACTTTGAGATAATTGCTTTCAGCTCTTGCAGATAGGGCACGCCATATACAACAACTTCCTCTTCAGGGTCAACCTGAACGCTTACGGAAGACATGACACCTTGGATGAAGAAGGTCCAGTTAAATTCCTAGGCAGACAGAAAGACATATACCAATGCCAGGTGTTTAAGTGCCTTAGTAACTGTCTGGACTTTCTACAGTCCATGGGATTGAATGTAATTGTAGTGTTGTTCAGCAGAAAAATGCTTTTTAAGGGACTCTGAAGATTAAGAATGGGAATCATTTTATACCTCTCTGTTGCATCACTGATAAATTCACAAAGCCATTTTCAATTGGCATGGTAATAAGAGGAGGCTGCAAGTATCAGACTGCTCATTAAACACTTACGTTCAATGCAAACTTTTCCTGTAGCTCTTTTAAGGTCATTTTGTTGTACAACAAGGTTACATCATGCCTTTCTTCTGCTGGGGTAGTTGCCTGAAGACATTCACAAGGTTATTACTAGAATCAACTAATACAAGTGTCAATGGCTGAAATTGCATGCATGTGGACATATACACACTCAAATAATATGCAAATAAAACAGTTTCTTTTGAAAATGAAAGCTTATCTGATGGTGTCCTGTGCTGCTTTCTCTCCCCTCCCCCCCCCAACATCCTGAGAAGTTCTTGACTCACATTTGCAATCTCTGTTTCAAGCTCCATAACCTTTGCCATTTCCTCTTCGACAAACGAATCGTCTTTAGACGTGTTCTTGTCTTCCCGGATCATTTTGGCAATGGTGATCATGAACTGCAGGTAAGCTTCTCTCACCTGCACGCAAGAAACAGGACGTGTGTAGCATTCCAAAGAAAAGGATCGCTGTCTATCATTTCTCATTCAGCAAACCATTCTTTGTGTTATTTTAGCTTCACAGTGTGCTGTGAAAAAGTTTGGCCCAGAGGTCACAGCCTCTGCCCTTGTCTTGAATGCAACTGTCCTTATTCCATTTGTCTCATCCTTTTTTTCCTACTATAATAGATACAACTGCAATTCCTAGGACCTCGGTTCATCCTGGAATACCTTACAGTGCAGTTGCCAGTCTCAAAATACATAGACAAAGCAACTCTTCCTGTGCAATTTAACTCTGGCATTCTGGGCGAGAATTACTACCCGAGCAAAGAGAAAGCTCTGTCCTTTGAGTTACACTACAGGAATAGTGATCCCTACTAGCCAAAATACCAGGGTAGATGTGGAAGGTTGATGTTCTCTGAAAGTAATACCATAAGTCTTCTAAACTCCCTGCTTTTACTGCCTGAAAAAAACGCTCTGTCTTGGATGGTTCCCAGTGATACCTTTTGCTTTATTTCTAATAGGAGAGTGTGGCTGTGATTTATGCCTCGGAGTGGACCTTGGAAAGATAGGTGGCTGCTGAGGGAGTACTGATACAGGGAAGCTTAATACTACCTATTCTTCTTGCATACTTTTCTTCCTCTGTAGACCTTGGAAACCAGATAAATACAGTAACAGTTGTGAAATTGAGTCTGGGCACTTACATGGTTGTTATTTGTGTTTTTAGGCTGAATGCTGAGGCCGTAATCAGGCCAGACTCCCACAGGCCTCAGCAGGAGTTTTGCCAAAAGATGCTGGTCTAAGCACGGGGGGGAGGGTTTGGGACATCAGCGTTGGGTTCATTGTCTGTGGGAAGCGAGCTGTTAAATAGCAAATAAAAAGGGGTTGTGTCTCCTCCTTATTCATTAAGATTAAAAACGCAGCCTTAGCGCTTCTTTATAGCTTCAAATTAAAACTGTATTAAGTAGAACTGGTTTTCTTTTGTTAATTTAGGATCGTCTAGGTACTGTACCTGATTTTCTACCTCCTACAAGTCAATCTAAATCTGACTTTCATGCAACAATGCATAAATACCCCTCTTTTCTGCTGTAACTGCCACTATATAGGTGAAACTTGCAGAATAGAATCCCAGTTCCAGCAGCTCTCTGCTGTTCCCAGCAGAATGACATGGAGATTGTTTTGTATCATGAGACAGATTAACAGAAATTGGTAGTTTATAAACGTGTGCAGAAGGTGTGGAAACAATCTCATGAAAACTTCACAGGACCATATTACATATGAGAGTATAGTCAAATACGTTGAAGTCAGAAGAAAACTAGTCTCCCTGATGTTTTCATCTGCCTTTACAACCACAAGACAAGAGTCTAAAATGCTGATTACTGTCTCTCTGTATTCCCTTCCATTCGCGTTAGGAAAATTAGTCTGATGGTAGGCTGCAAGTCCTCTTTGTTAGTATGACATAATTGAGGAAAATAAAATGTACTAAAGCCCTATTTTCATCTTGGAAACTGATAAATTATCTGGCTATGTTTGCGACAGCTTTCTATGTATTTACAGAAATCCTGATGTTTTTGCTCTGAGCACTGGCAGAGAAAAGCAGCTAGAAAATAATCTCTCACAATTTTCATGTAATTTTGGGGATTGGGGGGGGAGTAAGTGGCAGCAGATTCTTACTAGCTGAGTATCTGTTCCATTAATATAGCTTTTGCTGGTCCATGTAAACCACTTCTTAAACTTTTTAAAACTTTTTTCCCCTGAATGAACATGTGAAAAACTCTGAGCATTTTGGTGTTCAGCAAAATGTATTTTGGGTATTGTATGTTCAAATATGATCCAGTATAACAATTCTTCTCCCATATCTATAATCCATCTTTCCAGTACCTTTTAAAATAGCAGCCAGAACCAGTGGCTTCAGAGGCAGTTGTAAGCAAATCCAAGACAACCTGTGCTGAAAATGTGAAGCTATCCTTCAAAACTAGAGACTGTTTTAAGCTTTAAAACAAGATGATTTTATCTTCCCAGAACCTTCTCATCTGTATGAATGGCCAGTTCTGGGGAGGCTTGATATTTATACAGTTGTTCAGTCCTTCTGTAAACTTTACAAAATTCTGGCATAATTAGGAAAAAATCTAGCAGTGAATGTCACAGTCTAATTCTGGTTGTAACATAACACAAAGTTTCATATATTTGAGTTTTCCAAAACACAGGGATATGTAACAAAAGTGATTTAGTAGCGCATAGTAAATAAATTACAAGGAATACTTACCCTTTGATAGTTGCCCCCATTAAAGTAATAATCCCTGGATGGCATTCCTAAACTTGGCTGGTCAATCTGAAGGAAATCATATATGATTCTTTAGTTAGTGATGAACAGGAACTGGTGTTTTCCAAAGGCATCCTTGAAAGGCAACACGAAGCGCTGCATGTGCCTTCCCTTCAGTGTTGCAATGACAACAGCACACTCTCACCACACAATCGCAGAACTTTAGCTTTCTAGGAACTGGGGTGAGATGGAAGGCACAACTTTTGTGTCTGGATTTCTAGATAAGGACAGGATTGATACTTAGCGTGGGGTATTAAACAAAATCTTTCAGTAACCACTGAGGTCTAAGAATAAATTTAAGCAACTCTAAAAAGAAGCTGCTTGACTTGAGGGCTAGACTTCATGCATAAGCATACATGAACAAACCCTGAAATATTATTTACGTGTTTTAAAAAAACATGGTTGCCTGTTATATATTAAACCTCACCATTATTTTGCAAGTCACAAGAATCTACAATCCTTAAATGCTGTAAATCGGCAACTGTCCATTGATTTTTATTTCTTTAACAAAAATTATGCTACCATAAAGTGTTTCCCAATATGACTTTGAGAGAGATCTGCCACTTGGGGAACAGAACTGTTGCACACATTTTTGCCAGTATTGTGCATACCCACTGACTTATGGAAAGCTAATCTGTATGCAGTGGAAGTAACTATCCAGTATGATTCTGGCATATAAATAATTCTCTGCAGACTTTTTCTTACATATATGATGTGTCTGCTGGAATCCCGGTCGTCATTCCATACAAACATGTCAATGAGGACACGTTTGTTAAATCTGGAGTTCATTATGGAGAGTTTTTCTTCCATGCTCCAGTCTGGTTCTGGTAAATAAAAGGGAAAATATGCATTATTTATCAATATGTATCAGGACTGATTAAGTTGTATAGTTTGAAAGTTTACTGCTGAAATTGTTGAGACCAGACTGGACATGATGTGAGAATATTTGTACAGGACATTCCTACAGTGGCTAGAAATGGCTAGACTGTTCTTACTGGCCTTATCTGTCTCTGATATAAAGTAATCAGTAAATGTTTTAATAGATATATGCAACTGTCTATGCACAGTATAAATCACCATGACCTAGCCTAGTTAGGCAGTTATGCTCCAAACCCTAATTAATATGCAAGCACTAGAACACAGCTGTATTGATTATATTATTTTTGTTTTCATTGTTCATGTTGGTGTTTTAGGTTTCCTTATAATATGGGTATATATTTATACAGATCACTGTGTGCTAAATAAGTATGATACCTTGACTTTTCTTTATGAAGGAAAATTTAAAAGGGAGAATCTACTACAATGACAGTAGTCTCCTTGGTACAATAAATGATTTTGACTTAACAGTACTGAACTCTTTCAGGTAGAGCATTACCTTTGGTTTTATTCCAGTCTGCAGAAGCCACTGGCCAATCTCCAACCATCTTTAAGGCCTCTAGCAGAGGCAATGAATCTCGTTGCTCTATAAGACCTGAGAGGAAAAACAAATACTGTATCATTTCCATAGGAAAAAAATGAAGAAAAATGTGTAATAGGCCTAACAGTTTAAATCTGAAACTGAATTTGTCACAGCAGAAAAAGAGATACCATGAAATCATCTGTCTCCTATGTTAGTCTTCAAAAAAAGTAATGAAAATACTTCTGCGGGCTTCAGTACCAATTTTGACTGAATAGGTTTGGAAAGGATGAAAAGGGACACGTTTTTGCATTCAGAAGGGAAGGCTTTGCATTGATACCAGAGGTAGGTAACAAGCATCCACCCTTTGTACATCCTAGAATGTGTATATTAAGCCTTAACGATGTACCAAGGCATCTTCATTCAGCGGAAGATCAGTTTTCCAGGCAAGGCCATGGACAGTGATGACTTTTGCTTAGAAGTACATTGGTACTTTCGTACGTTTGGTATTGAACAAGTGAATCAATGGAACGAGAAGAGACTCACTCTCATTCATGCACGACTTGTAAAGTATTTTAGCTTTCTGAAATGCTTCTCTGTCCCCTTGATCTGAAGTCTCCAACACACCTGGGGAAGGAACCATTGCAGTGAGATTTTTTTGCCCTGGAGAGCTTTGATCTTTTCATAGAAATCACTGAGAATTCAGAACTATGATAAATACTTGTTACTGTAGGCCTCAATTACTGTGAGACTAGAGTGCTCTTTAAAGGAGCTATTAATGGAAGAAGTGTCAGGAAGAAGGACGTGCATGCAGCCTATCCTGCTCCTTTTGAAGTTAGTACCAAATCACCTGTGGGTAATTTTTAGTGGGAACAGGATGTTCCCATGAAATGGATGTAGTAAGAGATGTAGAGATTAAAGGACTTGGAGGGGGTGGAAAAAAAATCACAATCAACACTTCTACGGAAGTTCATTTCTCTCTATAATGTGCAGTAAATAACTTCTGAAACTAAACAAAAATGCATAACCAAGGATAGAGTAGCCTTGTTCCTACCTTTCAGGATGATCTCCAGCTCGTCTCTCAGGATGTCAAAAATGCTGTATCTGGAGCTGGTTTCTGGGATAACATGCCGGTTCAGCCAGCCCCCACAGGCGTACTGGTAGAAATCCTTGCAAGGGTCAGCTGTTGGGTCCATATTCTGAATTATTCTAGCAGCTAGGTATCGAAATCGGAGAGTTGAGTTCCACAGACTGCCCAGTAATCTCTGGGACTACCAAAGACTGTCAGAAAGCTGCCTGGCAAGAAGGCACCTTGCTTATGCTGCTTATAGTGGATAAGACTCATTCTCGTGCATTATGAGTCAAAGGCTCCTATTTTCTGCTTAAAAATGCAAGGAAGGAACTGACAGCAGACACTTTCACTGCAATTGTACTGCTTTAGAGAGATCCTCTGAACAGCAGAATGATTCCGCCACAGCACAGCACCTCAGAGGCGTGGGCGTGCTGCCCAGTGCTCTGCTGGGGCCCTACCTACAAAGCCAGTGTTTCCAGGGGGAAATTGAGAACCTCTGTGCTGGAGTCTTACCTCTCATTGCATATCATGGAGGTGTACAAGTAGATGCCAGGAATAAGAAGGTGAATAGCCCCATGTGTAGAATGCGTTCTTTTTGAGAAAGAATTGGGTCTAAGGGGATTTTTATTATACTTTGTAGATAGAGACTGCGTTGGTCAAACCATGTGTCTGCAGCTCAGGCCAGAGCCATAGAACTGTTAACCACCCTGGGAATTTTCCTGTACTACTTCCTTATGAATGATACTCCTGGTGACAAAGGAAGCATACAATGGAGAAGTAAGAATAGGGTGGGTTTTTTCTCAGTGTTTACACATGGAACTGTATTTGAGGACAGCTGTACTTGCTGCCTTTGACAGTAATAGCAGTGTGTATCTATCCCAAGGGGAAATTACATTCCTTTTCAGCTTCTTCAGTCCTAAAGCCTGAACTGTAGCTTACTCCGGTTCGGTAGAAGTAACAACATGTCAAACATCACCTCTGCAGCAATCATTACCTGCTGTAACACATCCGGGTGTGGTACATACGTTGCCTGAATTGGTGCTGTAGTGAGTGCCTGCAGGGAGAGGAGTAAGAAAGCAGATGGAATTAGTTGTTTTGGAAAGAAAGTGCTACCAATGTCACTTGCCAGCAGCCCAACCTCAGCAACAGCTCTGAAGTCTTAGAGCAAGAGACTGGATATTGATACCAGTAAAAGATAGCAAGTCACAGCTGTGAAGAAATCTTATCTGCAGATTTAGGAGGAAAATTTATGCGGAAGCAGTGTTACATCTGAATTCTACTAGAGGGAGAGTAAGACTTTTTTTTTTTTTCCTAACCTGCTGTCTCCGCAGTCTTTCTGACACATACTGAAAGTATGAGATCCCTTTCTAGACAATCTACTGAGGTGTTTTGAGCATCTGGGCTCTTTCATGCTCTCCAAAATCACCATGATTGAGAAGTTTAAACAGGGGGAGAAAAGCCCATAGCTGGATTACCGCTTTCACACTGTTTTGAGTCACAAAGATCAAATTTAGAGAAAGAAATGTTGTTGTTGTTTTTTTTTTTTTACTTCTCTAAGTGTGTGTATATGTGTTGGCAGGGTGGGGGGAAAACAGAGCTATGTTTGGTCAATATTTCAGATAAGTAATGTCCTTTAAGGTTACTCCTTGCTGGTCAGCAGAGAGGTTGGTCCCTGATCTGTAGTGTTTAGGGCTGATGAAATAGCGTGTGATGGAGACTGTGGACCTATGTTCAAGTCTGCGTTCTGCCTTTGAGCTGAGACTGGAAAAGTCCAGTGAAATCATTGTCGATGATCTCAATGCACCTCAGTACTCCAGGCAGCAGGTCAGAATTCAGAGCCCTAAGTTCTGCTGCAGAATTGCAGTGGAGCCTTTGTACGTGGACACGTAATTTTTTATGCCCAGTACTAAAGTGAATGTGTCTGTGATGCTGGTCGTGCCCCTCTAGTGTGCTGTTCACTACGGAACTGGAATGGCAAGTATCTCAGCATCCCAGTCTAGTGAGTGGCCTGGGCCCTGGGCACAAGAAAATTATTTTTTCTGTTTTAATTTCCCATTTGCAAAACTGGGCTAGTTTAGTATTTACTTATGTTAAACATACAGCTACTTGGTTCCACACTGGAAAACAAAAACTTGATCCCCTTACTTTCCAACAGGATTAGCCATGTCTTTAAACTTTTTTTTGATCCTTACACTAGGATGTTTGCGCAGAAAAGAGTTACTAAAAAAAAAAAAATCCTTCCAGTGAAAACAAGTGTTTTACATGAGAGCAAACAAGATTACAGTAATTCAGATAGAAATAAAACAGTGGGGAAGAAAAGAGGGCTTTGAAGTTCATCAGTGGAAGCAACATAAAAAGCCCCCACTGTGATTGGGAATGTAACATTCAGGGTTCAGCTGAGTGCTGTCGTGCTGCGTGGGAGTGGATCTGCGTTCGAATAACTGCATGCCTTATTATAGTTCAGTGTCTCGCAATCTGAACATGGGATGAGCAAAACCTGTAACCAAGTGAAGCTTCACGTAGAGGGGTTTAGCGGCTTTTTTATAGTGGGTGAAGCTAAGCCCAATTTTTGGAGTTTCCTAAACTCTCTAATAATTTAAAAAAAAAACAAAACAAAAAACAAAACAAAAAACCCCAAACCACCAAAACTTAAAAGCTCAGGGTATTTCCACGAAAAAAAAAGTAAAATCCTGTTGGGGAAAGAAGTTAGTAGTTCAAAGGCACGTGAAAATTTTCCATAAGGGAGAAATAGTAATGGGCAAGGTGAGAAAGAGACAACTGTACTAAAAGCACGCTGCACTTCTCTCACCGTTTCTCGGGGACCAGGCAGGACTCATTTTTTTTTTTTTTTTTTTTTAATGAAAGTGTCTCTTTTTAATATAACCTGACAATGTCTTGCTTCAGTTTCTGGAACCCAACTGCTTTCAACAAGGTTCTAACTCCCCACATTCAAAAAGCCCTTGTGATTGCAAAAATGTAATTGAGCTGTATAAGCAGGGAGGCCAAAGCTGTTTTGAAACCTTGGTTGCACACTCATTTTTTTTTTTTTTTTTTTTTAATGAAAGTGTCTCTTTTTAATATAACCTGACAATGTCTTGCTTCAGTTTCTGGAACCCAACTGCTTTCAACAAGGTTCTAACTCCCCACATTCAAAAAGCCCTTGTGATTGCAAAAATGTAATTGAGCTGTATAAGCAGGGAGGCCAAAGCTGTTTTGAAACCTTGGTTGCACACTCAGGGCTCTGAAACTCTGCCACAAACCCAGATAATTAGAAATGGCTGGTGAGGGGCTCTCAGTTTACTTCTAAAAGTGGCTCCCTTTTTGTTTACTGTTAAAAGTGGCTCCTTTGTTTTTCTATCAATTATCTCTTTTATACCTCTGTACCATTCCTGAAAAAGAACCAAGCCAACCTGACTCTGTATGAGATACGACCAACACTGCCCTGTTTTACTCAACAATGTATTTGTTGGGTCTTTGCTCACTTGACTGAGGCTCTGTCTGCTGCACCTCTTGAACTTCAAATCACTAGAAACAAACGTTAAATGCACCTTCTAAAGTCTCAGCTAGACAACTCTATGCACTTCACTTTCTCAGACTACCTTGCTAAAAACAACTGCTCGAGTTTTCAGTATAATTATAGGTATTTCTCTATGTATTTATTTTTCCTCCCTGGTTAAATATTGCTGACAGGTTGAGCTATACAATGACATAGAGACTCCTGCTTTCACATCCATGGACAAAGACCACTGCAAGTAGAGACATGGGAGGGACAGTTTCTTTTAAAATTAATCACTCCATTTTCCCACCTCTTTCTTCTGAGGTACCCTTCCTTGGCTATACCTTTTAAAAACTATCAAAGAGGGATGCCAAAAGAACTGAGATAGGCCAAAAAGATTTCATCACTGGAACTATGTTGTGCAGTACTAAGCTCCTTCACAGCTCTCAGTCCAGGATTTCTGCAGCTGTCACCCTTGCATTTACCTCATAAAGTCATACTCTTGCTCTGTTGACAGTCTTTTTGGTAGAAAAGAACTAATGAACCCTCTGCAGACTGAAGGCTTTCTTCACTTGCAGTCTGACAGAGCACCATCAGAAAACTGATAAGGGGAGGCAAGCTTTAACGGAGCTAAATAAAACTGCCTTAGCTGTGGGACTACTCCAGAGGGAAGAAAGTGAGGGAAAAGAAGTACTCCAGATGCTACTTCAGAGGTCAACTGCTCACGTGAAAAACGGCAGAAATGGGACACGCTTCAGACCCCACTGGATTCACCGTAAAGAATTCTATCATCTTAATTTAACTTTACAAGAAGCCACTGAACAGTATTTCATGCACTGGTCAGCAGTAGGATAGAAGGATAACTTCTGAGAACTGTAGAGCACTGTTTTCCTCTTTATCAGTTCATCTTTTGAATGACAATTTTTTTGAAATACAAGTTGCTTTTCACAGCCTTACTGAAGTTCCTTTTTAGGCAACAAAAGCAAAGCAAATAATACGGTGCAGTTTGTGTTTAGTGTTCTCCCACAGTGTGTTGGGAGGACCACAGATGGCTGGGGATGGCACACACTGAAACAATTAGAGCCACAGTTGTCACCAGGCAGTCAAGTGTGAGCTTCACCTTTCAGCACCATATCTGTTTCTCACACAGATCTCTTCTGCAGAAGTGCTGTCAGCACTGCAGACTGCCTTTGTTGCTATTATAACAGTGAATTGTTTGCAACAAATAATATAATCATCAAATTTAGCTTTTCTTCCTCTGAGAAGGCTGTCTACACCAGATGTCAGTGTCTTCAAATGGACTCCATAACACAAGTGTTTGGTTTTTATACCACCTATCTTACGATTTCTTAACTGTAGTCTATCTATAAGCATGGCTGAGACAGAATTTCATGTGAGAATCATCAAGCTGAGTATTTGCCCACTTCTGCAGCCCTGCATGGTCTGTCACTCCACATTCCCACTTTACATTCACATAGCTCCATCTGAGTAGAACTGAGAAGAGTCTTGCCACCCAGATGTCATGACGAAATGACTTGTGTAAGCTACCACTTTTAAATTCTCCATCTCCTTTGATTAGATGCCTCATTAATGAACATTCACAAAGTCAAAGAATGACTAGGCATCAGTCTAGGAGACCAGCCAGATCTCAGCCACAACCTTTTTGTGGTGTGCCAGTGACCAGTTGAGATATTGCCCCTAGTCAGCAGGTTCTTGCAAATCTTTTATTCAAGTGCACATCAATCCCATTCACCACATAGGAAAGGCAGGAGCACACCGTGGCTTTTTGAAATCCATTCTCAGAACAAGGTGCTTCTTAGGCCAAGTGTTGTATTTCTCTTCATTTGTTTGGAGCCTGCCTAAGAGCATAGAGCATCAGTGCATAAGCATGCCCTCTAGCTTTGTAACAGCCTCTGTAGGAGATGGGAATAGTGACAACCTGTGGGGATGCAGACACGCACACACAAAAAATGTATCCAAAATCTTACTTGTGAGAAACCCTACAAACTTGGAAGCCAGAAAGCGAATAAAATATCAATTAAACAAATAACGTGACTTTTGAGTAGTCAGGACCAGCAATTAGATGAGAATGTAAGTTGTTTGTAACTCTTAAGTTGTCTGGAAAAGTTGCTGAATGTAACTTGATGTGTCAGCTACAATAAGAGTTGAAATGTTTTTCAGACTGTAGCCTTTCCAACAAGTGATGAGCTTCGAGCTTAGTAAATATTTGCGGAACATAGCTGAGAGCGAGCTGTGAAAAGGCTGTAAAGGTGTATGTGTGGGTGTGTCGGAAAGATTGAGAGCATGGTGTCTTTGGATTCAAAAACAAATTATTTCAGTTCTGTCTGCCTCCCTTTCTATGATCACCCAAGCATTACTCTGCTATTCTTACTGTATTTTCCTTTAGGTTATTTAGACAAGGTTTTATGGGTATGAAAACTTCCTTGGATGTCAGAAATCTGCTTCTAGAACTATATAACTGCATTCCTGTGAGAGCTTCAGTGTTTTTGTGGTCTGGCTGCGTGTTAATACTGACTGATTTTTATCTATATATTACATGCATTATTGCTATAACCAGAGGCCTGTTTCATGCACCACAATGCTCTTCTGCAGCCTATATACAAGCAGAACAAAAACATACTCCCTGAACCACAGAGCCTATAATACACCTTCATATATAAAAAAAGAGCAAGTATAAGGCAGGACAGGTAATCCTCTTAATTTTCCATTAGCTAAAGCATTATTTTTTAGAAGCCTGTCTGGGTAGTGTCATTCTGATAAAGGACATACACAGACGAAGTGGTGAATCTGAATCTGCTCTTAGTCAACAATCCAGCATCCCATACGCATTTCAAAACTAACATTTTTGTGAAATTAGAAATAAAAGAATCCCGAGGATAACATTCTTGGTTCTAGCCCAAGAATGCTGCTCAGCTATGGTTTTCTTCCTGATATTGTGTAGGATTCACACTTATGTTGCACAGCTTCGAGCAATACATGGTTTTCATGTGGTAATTCTGAGAGACTTCAGCCTTTGGACTGAGCGCTGGGGACGGGCCTAGATGTAACATTGGAACAGAACCAAGTGGAGTATTTGGATTTGGAAAAAATTTTTCAAGATTTAAAAAAAAAAAAAAAAGTTTCTGTTCTGCAGGAACATTCCCTGGCTGCACTGACGAGCTCTTGCTTTCTCAGTTTTAGACCCAAAGAGCGCATATAGGCACTCATCTCAAAGATGATGTAGCTCAAAGTTCCTGCTGCTCCGTCCCTACCTGTGAATTACCTAACTCTGGTGGTGACCCTGGGGTCTGACTAGGTCTTGGCGTCTCCTTGCAGTGGTGCAGCTACCTGTGCTTACATGTAAAGCGTGAGGGGCAGAAGCTGACTGTAGGGCAGTGCTGACAGCACGCCTCTGAGGCTCGAGACAGCGGCCGGGAGGAGCGGCACGCCGCACGGGGCACGCAGCAGATCAGCTCTGCTTTGCGCTCACGGCTTGCTCAGGAGTGTCTGAATCTGGGAAACGTTTCCCAGGAATGTTTAATTGCTGATGTGAGCCTGAAAAATATTTAGATTTTGGAACTGCATTCCCACAGATAAGCCCTTCATCAACAAAATGCAATAGCTAGCGCTTGCTTAATGTGCACTGACTCTTCCCCATGGATGTGGATGAGACACCAGCATTTGGACAAGTATTGTTAATACCTGAATTCTGATTTGCCTGAACTCATAAAGCAAGATGTAGAGCAGATCTCTCAAATCCTTTCTGTATGCAAGCAATAAAATTCTGCATAGCTCAATATTCTGATACAGTAACTCCTACCCTAGAACTTAGCTCTGTTTGGGGTTTTCTTTTTTCCTCCCTCCTGTCTTCTGAGCCAGTAGAATAAACATAAGCAACTTTCTGCATACCAAATGCTCAGAGATTTCACCTAACACTGGAACAAACACTGGTAACATACAATTGCTGGTAGCAAAAGGAGTAAACAAAAAGGCTTTTTCTCATGAATTATTGCGCAGAGTTGTGCAGTGTGGTGCTTGGAAGTGTTGAAGAAAGCGGTTCACTGCAGGCAGGGGATGCAGAGACAATGTAAGGAGAAAACAAACCCTTGCTTCAGTTTTGCTATTTATAGGTCCCAGTTTTATTCTCCGGTGTTTTAGCAAAGCTCTGAATCCAAGAGGCATTCATGGAAATGACACACGTGAGGCAGGCGCTGCTACCAGTCATGCTGATTGCTTCACAGAATTTTTAAATAGGGCTTTGCATTTGGTGTGCTAGTGCAAAAACTTAGTTCTGTGAGTAAGCACGCTCTGCAGCTAACGTATTTAGGCAAAGCGCCTCAGAGCAGTATGCCTCAGTGTCAGGTTCCTGGCAAGACATTCGCATGAAAGTCACTGGACCAGATCTCACCTAGAGATCAAATTGCCTGATATAATACTAAAAAAAGCCTCCTTTTCCTCAGCAGCACACTGGCTTTTTTTTTTTTTTAAAAAAAAAAAGCTTTCCCTCTGTAATAAGTAATCTCCCCTTTAGATCTGCTAAGCAGCTGCTGCTTTATAACTCCTGGCAATAATGCATCCTGACTCAGGTTCCTATAAAATAAGGATATGCCAAGCCTTATAGCCAGATGCACACAGACAAGACACCTTTCCCTCTAAAACAGTGCAACATTTTTTTTACCTTTGCCAAAACAATGGTGAATTCCATAAAATGCATAGAATTAATTAAAACCAATAGAATCTTACATCACATAATTTAAAAATGAAATAAAACCCAACATAATCCTCTCTGTGCATCAGCCTGGAACAAGGCAGAGAGAGACAAGTCCCTCACAGAGGTGACCTCACTGTCTCCCTCTGTTATTGTTTTCATTTAGCTCTGCAAAAAGACTTGTATGTTGTTTGCGGGGGGAAGAGAAGAATTATTCGCAGGTTCCTTACCTCTGCTGCTGGCATACAGGATCACCAGGGCGACCACTGCACAAGTCATGAGGAACAGCAAGACAGTCAGACCGATCGCCACAAAGCTCCAGGATTTCTTCCCAGATTTTGTTGATTTTTCCACAATATCCATTTGACTCTCTGATTTCCCCATTATTGTAACTCTATTGAGGAGGGGAGGGTAAGAAAGAATTAACAGCACAGCTAAATCAGTATAAGGATAAATGCATGACAAATCAGGGAGAAAAAGGAAGCAGAATAAAAGCAAAGACAGATAAAGAAAACTTCCAAATTATTACATGTATTTGTCCATTTGATTGTCCACAGACTTGCCAACCTCATGCTCCATCTCCTGCGCCTGCCAGGCTGGGGGCACGCAGGGTGTGCGGCTGGGGGGCTGTTCGGGACTGCACTACCCTAGGCTCTCAGCGGGGCCGTGTCCTAACCCCAGGAGCCTGCTTTGGGAAGTAGGGAAAAGTCTTATGACCAGGTTGGGCAACTCCTTTCTCCCAAACAGGGAAGGAGGGGGGAAAAGCTGCCGCCTTCCACTCCCTGCTCCGAAAAGTATCTTGCCGTTTCGAAGAATTTTCCTCTTTTTCCTCTGTGGATGGGAGTAGGTCTGCAGAGCTCTGTTAGCAGCAGTAGAATCCAAAATGAGATCCCTCCAGGTGTGAGAGCCTTTGAGCTGCGGCTGCTCCGTCCTCAGCCGAGATGAAGGGTTTGCAGAGTCGAAGGCTCCTAGGAGACGTGTCGGCTCCCAGGTCTGCGGGAGTTTGTGACCTCCTGCTTCTCGGAGCCATGCTCAAACTTCTGAGCTCAGCCGAGCGCGGTTGCCAGCTCGGGAGCGGAGGGGAGGAGGGCTTGCAGCACAGGGCTGCGTGCTCGGAGCCTGCGCTCGGCTGCAGCTCCTCGGAAGTTTCCTCTGGCTTTCCTGAAATCTGCCGCCAGGTTATCCGGCTGCTGCGCTCACCGAAGGAGCGTGAAGTCAGAGACGTGCGAACCTATTGAAATCCTCGGGCTCTGAGAGTGCTGGCAGCATTTGGGTGCAACGTATGGGAGCAGCTTCATGTTTGAAAACACACCGAGTTACAGATTTGCTGCAGCCTCTGCACGGAGTTCTTTTATGCTGCTGCTTGGAAATCTGTCTGGCAACAACTGGGAAAGGCACTAAAAGCAAAGGCAGGGTAGGCATGCAATTTCCCTTGGGTTTTATTTTATTTTTTTCCAGAACTGACTTTCAGCGAGGGGGAAGCAGGTTGGTTGGTTTGGGTTTTGGGGTTTGTTATTTTTTTTCCCCTGCAGGCTGGTTTATTGAGCTAGCGTAACTCGTTGCCAAACTTCACACTATATAAATCTCCAGGTTGGTACCTCTCTCGACCTGAGCACTTCACCAGCACTCCAAAGACTGGTGTGTGTTGAGGAGGCAGTGCTGAGGCAGAGCAGGGGTTTCTTGGCGGCAGCCCGCTTTGCTGGGAACCCACACGTAGACTGTTCCAACAAAGTGAACGCAGACCTGTTTCCGTGAATGGGGTAGGAAACAACGAATGCCAGTCTCTCCTGCCAGGGGCCTAAGCCTCCTCTTCTAGTCAGTACTCTGCCTCAAAAGCCCTGTGAGAATTTGCGTTTTTTTTTCAGTTGTGTTATCTTAAGCTTCTGTCAAGTGTGAAGGCAGCTATTCTCATCCCACATTCTGAGGAGGACTGTAAGAACTCGCAGATCTGAAAGAAATGGATGCACTTGCAGATCCTGGGCGTCCGTGTGTGAAAACTAGCTACAGAGGGGAAGGCTGCTTATAAGGACAAAGCTACAGATGTAATGATGAGCTATGTGATCTCCGATTTCTGCTTGCAGGAAGTTCTAACATGTCAAAAGATTAGTTTCCTATGCATGTGAATGTTCCTTATTGTTGAACAGTTTTACTGTTACCTTACAACGCAGCTGGCTCTGAGGAAGGTCCACCCAGTTAAGGCCCACAATACTGCGACAGACAAGAGTCTCACAGGATTTAACATAGCTATTCTTGTAACACGGCCATAAGATCCTGCAGGGTGGTGTTCTGCCCATGTCACAGGTGCCAAGGATCTAAGGGCTCTATTCCAGCTGCTTTCTATGCACAGCTATTGCGACTAACGCGGTCTCTGAGGCTGGGAATGCTATCAGCGATTCCGACTGCCTGCTCCTCAGGGGGCAGACCCCAGCTCCCCACATAATCAAGAGAGAGGGGACTTGCAAAGTCAGAAGTAACATCTGTAGTAAGTGATTTCAGCATGGCCCAAGTGACTTCATATAAGTCATACATGAGCATCAAGACTGGAGATCTCTTATGTCCCCAGAAAAATCGTAATTCCCTCAAAAAGCATTAACCTAGTTATAAAGAAAATATTTTCCTTTTTCTTTTTTTAATTCTGGGAGGAAGTGGGAACTATATCAAGAATCTTTTCCTGTACCTCTAATGGCTTCACTTCCTTGCATAGCTGAGGAAAAGGTGCACTGTTTCCAATAGGAAGTGCAAGGAACTTTGGGTATAGCAATGGCATTGGCTTGCCTTTTCTAAAGGTTATGTTAGGCCAATCTCAGCATCAGACTGGAAAGTCAGTAGTGACAAATATTTTGTATTTTTTTTTTCACTCTTGCAATTTAGCTCTGAAATAAACTGCTCGGTATTTGTAATGAAAATGCTTCCCTTGTCAGTTCTCAAGCAGGTATCAGTGATAAATGGTCTGGGTAGTGCTGAGCCTGTTTTGGGTTAGAGAATGTCAGAAAAGAGAGAAAACTGGGTTACTAAGTTCATCATGTTCCTTCAGGTCCTATTTCAAATTATTTCTTTACCTGTTTTTTACACTAAGTCAGCATGGGTGAGTGATAGCAGTGCATAACCCAAAGCAGTCATCCAGAAGTTTGCAGCTGTTGCAGAGAAGTAAAGGAAATGCTTGACTATTAATACCATTTTCTATTGGAAAAAGTTTTTATCCTCTTAAGATTCAACTTTTGACTGATTGGCAACCACAGCACATAATTTCAGTGTCTTAGGTATATCTACATTGTCTTTAGGCTTAGGAGCGATTGTTGCAACCAATGAACAGCCCATCAGTTTGTGCTTTCACACAAATAAATTATACAGAATGTACAGAAAACAGATAATGAAATTCCATGTGCTGGACCTAAAGAAGCTGAATTGGTTGTTGTTCTTAAGCTATTGGTGAAATAAACCACCGAGCGCTTTTGCTGATGAAATACACTGGGAAAATTCGATGTGGACATTCCTGAATACTTTTGTACCTTTTAACTCAGGAAGAAATTTTTTTTTTTTCTTTTACTTCATGCATCTGTTGGCGATTCCTCCCCTAAGGAGGCGCAAGCAGAGCTAATATTAAAGGCAGTCAAGGGAGCTGTAATTGTGAACGTGAGAGTATAGACATGCAAGGGTGGGAAGACTTGAATATTCTGTAAAAGATTTTTATGGGTGTGAAAGGATCTTGTGACCTGATACATTGCTGGTTTGTGCTGAAGTTTGTGAGGGGAGACGTGAGCTATAAAATACACATTGATAGACATGGAGATAGCAATACTAGATAGTATGATTTTGATTTAAGAAGAATGTGTCTTGTTTCTTCTAGATGTTTCTCTTCACAACAGTAATCTGGTAACAAGTATTCAAGTTGCTGTGCTGTAAGAAAGTTTAATTAAAAAAAAAGTGTTTCTCTTCTGTATGAGGAGAAGGACCAGCAAGTGTAAAGGATATATTTGCAGAATCATTAATTTTTATTATCTTGAGCAGCTCTGTGTGGTCACTGAAATAGTGTAATCTGTCATTTTGACAGTTCTCCACTAGTGCACCAAGGTCGCTGTTCTGTTTGTTGCTTCTAAGGGGAAAGACCCATTTTGGTTTCTGACATGGTCTTGGTATCACCTTGTAGTCTTTATGGCAAAGGAGATCTGATGATGCAAGTGGAAGTGGTCTCTTTTTTTCCCCTAAATCTCATCTAAATTATTATTTTTTTTTTCTTTCTGCAGTGCATTTCAGTTCCTTTATACCCTAATGCGGAAACTGAGGCACAGGAAAGCACTGCGACTTGTCAAAGTCACAATGGCAGTCAGTGCCTGCAGAAGTTTTCATGTTCTAGTCTTTCATCTGCTGGTCTAGTTCACAATCCATTAGACTCTGGTTTTACATATTAGCTTAAAAAGTGTAATCTCTATTTACAATAACGTGAAGGTGAACACTGACCTGGGGATTTCTTCTTCCAGAAACTCTCAGGAGGGGTTTTCAGTTATTGGAAAACATGCTCTTTTCCCAAAGCAACACAGATATAAAACATATGAAGTAATGAGGAGTTTGCTGTTTGTATTGGGCTGCTTTGAAAGGATTCTTCTCTTTTTACTTGCTTTGTAATTAAAGGAGGTTCTTCTGTTACTGGAATTTGGATTTATGAGGAGCTTGCAATGGTAGGGTTAGAGTTTCAAAAAAGCCTCAAATCATAGATTTTTACACTTGGATCCTGGAGGGGTGGGGCCTGAGTAGGCAATCTGGGTGACTGCCTCCTTTTAGGACGTTTTTACTGTGAACTTTAAGACTCATGTATGCCTACTTACTAGACCTGCTTCCTCAGGCATCCCAAAGTGCACAGTTCTGGTATAGAGAGAGCGAGCTGGTCTGGAGTTTTCTTGGGAAAGTTTCTTGAGTATGGGAGGAATTCATGGTCAGAGAGCTCCAGCCCTGAACAGCAAATAGTCTAGCCAGTACCTCACTTGCCCAGGGACTGTACTTGATTCAGGGCTGTGAATATTTTTTTCATATTTGCCTTGGAGATTCCGGAATAACCATGGTTGCACCTGGGACACTGCACTGTCAGAAGCTGGTATTCAGGGACACTACTGCCTTTCTCAGAAGTTTGGTTGCTGTCTTAGTTGCCTACAATGTCAAATTGACCTTCAACTCTTCATTTAGCAAGAAATGATTTTAGAGATAAAAATTGTGAAGCATTGTGCATTTTTTAGGAAAGTTCACCTGCACCAAGATTTATAATGCATGTCTAAAACTGTCAGACTTACTATCAATATCACTAGTTTTGCTTAGTAACCGAAAGACTATGCACTACTCCAGTACTGTCAAATGTTTGTAAATGTTTTCAGTAGCCTCAGTCTAAGCAGTCGGTTCCTGAAGAGTGAAAGGGGTATTTAAGAAACTCTGATACAAAGGAGTCTAGTATACGGTTTTACCTTAAATACAGAAGACAATCTGAAGCTACAGGGCGACATTAAAAAACCAAACAACCAAGCACCTTAGCCCCCAGTAAATCAGCATGAGCGAGTGACTCTGGGACAACGGCTGGCTGCTGCCCTTTCCAT